CTCGGACCCGCAGTCGTGGCGATCCAACAACCATCTCTTCTAACCTAACACCCCAACCAGCTAACCCTTAGACCAAAGACACCCTGTAACAAAAGATGTCACATTACACGCAGCTCCAAAGGTAAGAAATGGTACACACTTCCTGTCTCCTAAGTGGGATTGTGATTGCTTGTTCATGTCTAAACATAACAACAAACTAGATAGACTAGATACAGTATGTGTTTAGAAAGAAGAAGAAAGAAAGAAAGAAAGAACATTATTACCCTAGGAAAAGTTTTCAGTTGACCCATGCAGTCTTTTGTTCAGTCTTTTGTTTTTTAAGCTTTGCCTTTGATAATCAGTGTGAATTGTTTTTATCTTACACTTGTAGCTTGCAGCCAGGAGTACTCCCCATAACTGTGCCGTAGTATCCTACCATTTCTAATAACCCTATACATTACTGTCACTTTATTTAAAGCTCACAATGCTATAGCATATTAATGGTATTTATAAGATTTTTCTTCCATTTCAGGACTTATACTGTATTGTGATACGTTATAGAGCAGTTCTCTGTGTGTCTGTATAATTAGCTGAAGTCACAGTAGTCATAATGTGCTGTGTAAACCAGGGCTCAGATTCTTCTTTTAAATACTTCTTTCACTTTTGCATGGAGCTATAAAGCATTATGAACATTGAACATATAAAACATTATCTCCACCACTTATAACACTTAATAAAACTCATTATCGTCAATTGACTGACATGTATGACGATAACCATTTATAGAGTTTTATAAAGCCTCATGAATGCATTATAATGTCTGTGCTTATAATGCGTTATGCATTACCTTCGGAAAGTCTTTTCCAAAAATAACCTGTTGATGGAAATTGTAGCATTTCTGATTCATTTCATAAAGAAATTATATTCTTTTTATCCTAATGAATAATGACTAAATACATAAATAAAAGATACTTCAACGACAGTAGTGACAAACTATTGTTAATATTTTTCTGGATGACAAAGTTTTCTTGTTGGGAGACAGATGTCAGTGTTCTGGCACCAGAGTCGATTCGGAGATGTGGATCAAGTGTTTTATTTAGTTAGTTGCAACAGTTTATTAGTAACAGTTGTGCAGAGCTAGGATTCGGTAAACAGAACTATGTAAAGAGTATAAAATGCATTCACTCTAGACAAATATATAATACCAGTAAGCACTTTGCATTCATACTTGTTCAAACATAAGAAAGGACACACGCTGCGCATGAAACTATACCCATCTGAAAAAGTCTAAAGATCAGAATAGTGGGACAGAAAGAGAAAGCTCTACATACACACCCTGTATTCAAACACTGGCTGCACTTTAAACAGTCACCTGTCTGGATTACAATCAGATAACTGCTTCCGGCCAACAGACCCTGAGGGCCCCAGGTTTAACGGTGGTATTCTGGTAATTTGATTCATTTCAATTCAGTACAGTCACATTACTTTCATGTCCAAGGAAGGAATAGTGTAAAAGCCTCTGATGCTTCAAACAAACCAGGTCTTAAGACGTGTCATCCAATCATGTCTGAAGTGTTTGTCCTCGCTGGATGACGTGTGTGTGTCTTTGTCATCTCAACGTGATGAATTTTACAGTAACAACACAGTTTTGGACACAGTCTTTCCCAACCACCATCAAAAAAGTATGAGTGAAGGAGATCTGCCAAGAGCTCTGGCGTTGTGTCTGACTGCCAGAAGCCGAGTAGCAAATTTGTTATTTTATCCAGTTGTATGGTATATATTTATACGCTACATCGTTGGATCCTGGTGGTTTCAGTCATCTGACTTCAGGATGTTGAGTAATAAGCAACTGGAAGTTGGCTGTTGGCCTGTTGAACTGCTCGACTGTGACTAGCATAGCTAGGTTGGTTTTAGCCTGGTGGCTAGGCTAGCCCGTCGCTTTTACTGAACTTTCATACAACTTGAACTTTTTCATAAGACGTCCGGGTTTTAACTTATGACAGCAACAGCTGGAGCAAATGCTGAAGGAGCCCCACCTACCTCTCCTTCCGACTGTAAGCCTCATCAGTCTCAGCGAGAACATCGCAGGCCTGGAGAACAGGATCTCAAACCTCTATGAAACCTAAGAGGCTGAGAGGCAATCGGATACAGTTATCGTTGGAGGCCCTGCCCAGGACATTGGCACTAGTACTGTAGAGCGCGCCGTCATGGAAAACCAAACCAAGAAACCAAGCGTCCTAAGTAGCAACCTGAATGACAGTGTGATTCTTCTCAGTTGACCCCTGACATCTGAGACTTACATATGTGACCCTCTTTTTCTTCCATCACATTTTGTCATTACTGGAAAATCTGCCTCCTCCACCCAATGTGTGACTAATGTGCTTTAATGGTTGAGATAAAACTGTTGCTAAGGTTAGTGTGTCTAGGTGTGACTGTCGTAGGTGGAGGGAAAATGATTATGTAACTACGTCCTCTGTTCCCTCCCTTGTGTGGATGAGCTGATCAAAAAGTGTGGAGACTTCTTTTAAAAATCAGAGAATCATATTATGAACAATTTCTTTTATTAAATAGTCATTTAATTCTTTTTTTTTTTCTTTTCCACCGAGAGACCTCCACTCCACTTACTGAACCCTAACCCCTCCCATGAAGAATGGAAAAAAAAAAAGATTAGATTAGAAAGTCTTTATAGTCCCAGAGGCGCAATTTGGTTTCCAACAGTTGTCAAGACAACATATACACATTAAATACTATAGAGACATAAATATAAGTAACGTACAGTAGATGTCAGCATTATAAGTTGCAGTAAGTATTTGTTAACTGTGATGACAACTAGGCCAGCAACTTGTTTAAAACCCAAACAGCTGACGGGATAAATGATCTGAAATATCTCCTCCCTGATGGCAGGAGTCAAAACTCTGCATGGAGAGGATGATGAGGGTCTGCCAAAAATGACCTTTGCCCTCTGAGCGACTTCATAAACATGGCTGAGATCATTCAAGTTAGTGCCAATGATCTTTTGGCAATGTTGAACAATATTAAATATTTCCCAGCTTATTTTTATACCCTGCTGAGGTTCCCAAGGCAACAGATCACTGCAAAAGTTCAAATTCACTAGAAAAAATATGAACAAAACATTTTTAAGAGTGTTCTGTCAATATGCCCAACAACCAGATTCATTAATGTCGCTGTGGCATCCTCCACCCCCGTCATAGGCCAATTGTAGTGGGTCAATTACGCGCTGTGTCATAGCCAGTGAGCTCTTCTTCATGATTCATTCAAAACCTTTCAAACCTAATGAAGTGAGCGCCACAGGATCATAGACATTCAGCACTTTCAGTGATGGAATCTTAGCCGCTGGAACAACGATAGATTCTTTCTGATAACTGATAACGAGAGCAGGAAAATAATCATAATTATAAATAATCGTCAATAATAATGGAGCCGACCTGCCTTGTGTCAACTGCTGGTGTGATGGCGTGATAATGTGGGGAGTGTCGCCCCCCGTCTCCAGGCCTGAATCCAGTAGAACACCTTTGGGGATGTGGTAGAACAGGAGATTGGCAGCATGAATGTGCAGCTGACTCTTGTGACTCGAGGACTGGTTCGATGTTCTGACAGTCCAGCTAAGAAAGGGAGTACCAGTGGGTTACTTGTGGTGGCCCCCGATACAACAGAAGAAGATCTTTGACAAAACTGCATCCACTGAGGAAGACCTCCAGAAAAATCTGGTCAGTGAACCTCAGATATTTTATTTCATGTGGTGTTTAAATAGTTGTTTCAATTCCAGTTTTGTCCACATTTCCATGGGCGCCGGTTTGGTTTTATCTTTGTTGGAGACATTTTTTGTAACATAAAAAGTTGTGTATGTGCACTTGGATCTAAGTCTCCTCCGGTCTCTTTAATATGCAGATGTGACATCAGAGCTCACCTGAGAGCTGACAACTCACCTGCCTGTGTTTCTAAGGATGCTCATGATCCACTCAGAGGGGAGGGGGGGAATTACTGTAAATAGCAAATATTTCTCCCACTGGTTTCAAAGAAGATAAATGTTTAAACTGATGATAGAACATTCTCATTAGCTGAGCGCAGCTGTAACACTTAATTGCTTCTTTAAAAGTACCTGATGTCTAATTTGCTTTTGGAGGCATTTCCGCCTACAGTGATAAAGTTACATAATAAAACAACATGTGTAAGCAATGATCATAAATTAGCCAATAGCTGTCCTCCAAAACGTTTAAACTTCCACTGCCACGTTGCAGCTAGTTAACAATCCCTAATACAGTTTGAGGATGATGGTTACCACGTCACAGCTGAGTGTGATGTGTATTGGTCTGTTGTCCATAGTTAACAGTACCACTGTTTTGACAGTTGACTGTCCATTAGCTGGTGGTGAAGGGTCAAATAAAATACATGTTCAACAATAAATACGTGAACATAGGAGAGGCAATCTCTTTTCTCGCACACGTCAATATACAACACATGCTGAAAAGGTGCGTCCATGTGATCGACGTATTCTGTTTATTACAGTACAAAATCTAATTTGTAATATAGTGTTTGATGGGCATCCCCACCCTGTGAACTGCTGAGAGGTCAAAAGGCACGCATACACACATATGCTCCCATACATACCTATAAACCACACCCAAACAGAACACACCCTGGCCCTATCACTCACAGTTACTCATTTACAAATTTTGCAACTTCAAGTATGGCAGCAATTCAGCATCCACAGCAACCACCCACCCATCACATCCACTTGGATGACACAGCACTCCCCTGACCCTTCCTAGTCCTCTATATAAAGGACCCCACTCTGTCCCTTCTGTCTTCCTCTGCTGCTAACTCACAGTTAGCCATGGATACGTTACAGTCTCTAATTTTGCTCTTATGGATGTGTTGCTGCATAACAGGACAGGCACAGCACAGGTGAGTCCACTCTCCAACAATGATAAAAAATATAATACAATGAATGGTAAAATAAATACATAATGTAAGAAGTTGAATAATATTATTCTGGGGTCATGGGTACGAGGGGGGGTCATCACCTCAGCATTTTTAAAATCCTCACTATTGGCCTGCAGTGCTATGGTATCTGTGTAAATTATTATATTCCAATAACAATGTATAGAGTTGCATAGAATGCCTTAAATAATAGTGAGGGGACTTTATTGTACTTACTGACCCACTATTATCAACTCACTGCAAATCTTTTTACACTTTTTACACTTTCGAGACAGGTTACAGGGTCAGTGTTAAATAGTATGAAGCCTCAGTTTGTAAACTGGTGATTTGTGACAAACTGCTCACACACAGATTGTTGCTTCACAGATGCATAAACCTGAGATGAATTCACGTCCTACAGCATTTGCCAATTGTTTGCTTGGATATATTTACACTTTATATTTCAGACACATTTATGTTGTTATATTATGTTGCGGCTTATACAACCATAGGGGTCTCCTGTATCTAAAGTAAATAATTCACTTGTTGTATATTTAGATATTGGTGTATTTTCTCATGAGGCGTTTGTACTTTACTGTAATGAACTTTGACTGGAATCTCTCCCTGTCCTTTTATCTTTTTACAGTTTACACAAAACACAAAGACAAGATGGTAAGTTGTTCTCAATGATCCAATCTATTGTTTGCATCTTTATTGCACATTCACACACTACAACACAAGTTAAAAGGTAGACAAATATAAATTTGATAAAGCATGCTCACACAGAGATAAGACAGTGGTACAGCATATGATCCACTGCTTCTACCACACTGTCCTCGACAGGGTTCGAATTATGGGGGAGATTGGGGGAGTACGGGAGATACCCCCGATTAAGACCCCCCCCCCCCCCAAAAAAAAAAAAAAAAAAAAAAGAGGTGGGGGGGGTGATAGGGGGGTTGAACAATTTATATATCCTTCTTACCTGTAATTTTAAAGAATACATTAATGCCGGAAGAATCTTTTACTACGATCTCATACACCCCTAAAGTGGACCATACCATTTCTTTACCTCGAAGTTAGCTGAACTTCTCGTCAGGCCTACCAGTACCTCACTCCCGTCAGTGGCTGGCGTCTCTGCACCTGTGTGTCGCTCAAGCAAATTGAGACACTGTAGGTAAATGTAATTCCCAGAAGCTATCTATCTAGCTTGTTTAATACACTTACCTTCTTACCTTCAGAGTTCCTGAATTAGACAAGTGTCAAGTATCTACAGATGAACACCAATGTTAGCTAGTTCCTAACTTTACCTCAAGTTACAGTTTAGCTAGCTAATGTTAGCTTGCTGACAACGCACCTCTTTATTTCCAGCGTTAGCAGATCATTTCATTACCAATAGAGAATGGTACATATGAACTAATGTCAGCTAACACTTGTGCTCAGTCATGAGCATTGACACAATGGATGGTTAACTAACATTTTGACATCAATACGGAGTCAATTCTTTCATGTTAATACTCTTTTGTGCCGTCGTGGGGGTTTAGTTAGTCTTTTACATGTTTGATATTAGCTTTTATAATAGACACCCACTTTGTTTTCACTCGGAAATCCAGGAGTTTTACCTTTTGGGTCATTGAGCAATAACAAAAAGTTAGTTCGTTTAATAATAATTATAATAATAATGATGAAAATAGTTACGTTTATTTATGTAGCACTTCACAAAAAACAAAACAAAAAAGAGCAAACAATATCTTTGCCAATAGCTAAACTTAAATCACAATAACCACAGATTGTTTTGGTGTTAATTGACATTACATTGCTGCTCTTAACTGAGTTAACTGTGTTGTATTTCTGTGTCTCCAACAGAAGTGCTAACCTCCTGTGACTTTAACCAGAACAGTGAACCATTCTGCAGGTTCAGCCAGGACAGCACAGACAACAGTGACTGGACCCGACATAGAGGTCCAACCCCAACACCTGGCTCTGGCCCTAGTGGAGACTACCCTGATGGAAGTCAGTCCTGAGTGCATGGTTTATTTTAAATATTTCATTTCTGTAAAATTACCTAATTGGCAAGGTTATTTAAGGTTAATTTAGAGATTTAGTATGATAAGATAAAGACACATCCTCTGTCCTTCTGATTCTCTCTGCAGAGGGATACTACATCTACCATGAGTGTGATAACGTGGCTAACGGTCAGAAAGCTCGGCTGCTGAGCCCTGCCCTCTCATCGTCGGCCTCTCAGATCTGTGTCCAGTTTCGATACTACATGTACGGCTCAGATAATCAGAATGTGTTGAGGGTTCTGGCTAAGAGGCCCAGTGGAGACGAAGAGGTCTGGAAGAGGACCGGAATCCAGAGTCCCTCCTGGCTGAAGGGCTCCGTCACCGTGTCCAAACCCAGCAGTCAGAGCGTCACAGTGAGTGTTAGCAGGTCACTGTAGCTGCGTTATCAATCAAAAACAGGGACGTAAAGCTGAGAGAGGCAACTGGGATGATTGACTGATTAAAAATTTTAAGTGTTTATTCAGAATTCACTGTTAAATCTTGACAAACTTCTTAGACTTACCAAGTCTAAATGAACTCGAGAGTCCTGCACACTGACAGCCACTTGAAACTAAAACATTACTTGTCCTTTTCACCTGTTTGCTATTGTGCTGACATGAGGAATATTTTCCCAAGCCTGCATTGCTTTGACAGTGACTGCATTGGAAAAGTTAACCTTTTTTTTTGTCTGAATTGGAGAAACAAGGTAGAAATTTTCATGCGTAAGTGCATATTTGTTTCTTTCGGACACTTGTATTAAATTCAAATATTAAAATATTGACATAACTTATGAAATGTAAAGAAAATCCTCTGTCATGCCAAACTAATACACAATTCACTTTAGAATTCAGACTGTGTCATTAAAAATCTCAACTGAAACCCACAACAATACTAATTGTACCAACAATTTTTCAACATGGATGATAACAATAGACTGAAAATTGATCTTTTAAAATCTGTACACTATATAAATTACATTTTTTTTGTTTTAAGTTTTGAGAGCTACATTAGCTCTAAACTCTCTGATCTCAATAGAGACATGAGAAAGACACTGAACGTGTTGCTACAAAACAGACTTATTCATCAGTTTCTAATCAGTGCACACAAACTTGCACAGATTATTTAGTTACTCTTATCTCCTTTTACCCTCACAGTTTACAGTTTATATTGTTTTTATAGCAGCTGTAAAACAATCTAAGCTTCAAGAGGGTGTTGGAGATGAACCTGAGGACAGATCAATTGTAACACTGTTACTTCATCACACAGTCAAAAACACACAGTCACACCCTGAGCAATAAACCTGGGCTGTTTTATTTACATAATGTTTCTGCTCATCAGTTTGGATTTTGATGGCACTGACACTTTGTCACAATCGCACATGTCACATGTTAGGACACTTCGAACAGTGCATATTTGAATCGGTTCAGTATGCATTAAAGGGTCCTTTCACCCAAATCAAAAAAAATTCCTTAGAGAACAAAACTCCTCATGCACGGCCAATATTAGTGGTCAGGTCCTGGTTGGTTGCAGGAACAACTGAAGTCAAAATCAAACTTAACCACCACACACTGAGATCATTTCACTGTGACTTTTATTGAGAGCGAACAACGTGTTTCGCCTGTGGCTTCGTCAGGTTCACTCAGTAAAATTACAAGAGCATTCACAAGTGTGATAAATACACACACATAGGTCACATGACCAGTCACCATCATCCTTTATTTATTTTTCAGTATTTTAACTTTTTTTTCAAAAGATAAACACATTACAAAAGGTCAACATTTTCCAAAACCATGATAATAATATTATACATTATCAATAATCATGGCAGTATTGATATAACTACAGCTAGACCTACACCTAGCGTATTAGGAAAAATAAGACAAGTAACTTCTATATACACAACTAGCTGCTAAACTGGCTTAAAAAAGTCCTTATTTATCTAAAATATATTCCTCCATCTAATATGAGGCTTCAGTAGTCAGACTTACAGTATGTTGTCTAAAGTCTTCATAGCACAGACATAAACAACCTTACACGCCATCAGGACTATCACCTATGGATGGTTAGGGTTCAGTGGGTTAGGATGGACTCTTGACTATAATAGTCAAATCCAAGTTTTAGTGAAAATTTTAAACAAATTTCTAGAAAACTAGTAAAAGACAATGTAAATAAACACATTCCCATCCACTATTGTTTTATGGATATTAGGATTTGGTGGTGTTAATTCTCCAGTCCTAACAAGATGACATAATTAAAAGAGCTCCAGTCAAAGCTTAAACAAACGAAAACAGTGAGGAAAACATGGTAGAAATTTACATCTATGTTGGTTTCATGTGTTAATGTGAGGAGAGTTACAGTCTCCTCATCAGTTTACACTCCACTTCTCTCCAGTGAAGTCACATGCTTCATATATTTCATGGTTTATTCCCCTAAGTCTCTGTTGTATTTTGTCATTGTTTTGTTGATACACCGTCTTTTCCACCTCAGCCGAGCGTAAAAACAATAGCAATATTATATGATATAACAAAAGCTATATTTTTTTGTTAATGCTAATTTGCTGATAAAAGAAGGCTGGGAATGCACTTATTGTCTTCTAAATAAAAACTCCAAAGTTGAGGTAAATTCAGCTACAACTCACTGTAACCTGAGATAATTTTCCATGAAAATTCATCTGCAAAGCTGAACAGCGGCTTCAGGGTGTTGATGTTTTCTCTCTGTGTCTATAGATCGTGTTTGAGGCACAGAGAGGCTTCACTTCTTCCTGTGACTCAGCTTTGGACAACATTGTCATCACTGAAGGCGCATGTCCCTGTGAGTTTACATACACACACACACACACACACACACACACACACACAGAAACACACACACAAACAAATATTGCTGTATGACTGACTGAAGGTTCTGTCCACAGCTTGTGTCTCTGGCTGTGATTTTGACACTCTTGACGACCTGTGCGGGTGGACGACTCAAACTGATAACCCTGATGTGTTCGGCTTTAGTCAGTGGATTGGACCAACAGACACTGAAGGCACTGGACCTGATGACGACTTCTCCAAACCTGGATGTAAGTGGTTCTTCTTTTTCAAAAGGCCTGTATAGAGATAACTGTTCTTCTTGAATTTGCAATATTCTACTACATCTACGTCTATAAAATAAAATTGTTTAAACTAAGTGGGACACTGAAGCCTATTTTAATTCCTTGATGACCTCTATGAAACACTTGTGCCAGTCAAGGAAAGATGGAAACAATAACCCAACCAGTGAATACTAAAACTAAATCAAAATAAAGTAATAGGTATTGAGAAAATAAAAGTTTTATTTTGTTACATTATTGTGGTGTAGAGAATAAATCAACAAGCAAGCAAGTGTTTATTCTATTTTACTAAATAACAAATTTTCTTATTTTGACCATGTAGTTGGTGCCTACATGTTGTTGGATGCTTACGAAGCTGTCCCTGGAGTCAGTTCTCAGATCAGAAGCCCTGTAATAACCCCCTCGTCTGGATGTTTGGACCTCACCTTCCACTACTACCTGTATGGCACCAGCACCACAATGGAGCTCAGAGTCCACACCATCACCGCAGGTAAAATTCTACATTTATTGTAATGTGCATAGACAGACAGAAACAAAGCCAACCTGAAAATATCTGTTTTTGCATGAATTTGTTTCTGTATTGACCAGGTGGAAGCCTTGGACCTGCTCTCTTCACTGTCAAGGGGAACCAGGGTCAAGGCTGGAAGCCTGCAGAGGTCCGCTACCTTGGAACTGCTGCTACTCAGGTAAATACTAGAACTTGGTGTGTCTCTGTGTATATTTATGTGTGTTCGTACAGCTTTACAGTAACTTACTTACTAACTTACATGTATTTCAGTTTGTGATTGTGGGTACCTTTGGAGAAACTCCTCAGACAGATATCGCTGTTGATGCTGTGTGTATCATGGCCTGCAAAGGTGAGAAACTGAACAGAGGGAATTGAAGTTACTATCGTCACCATCTCAAATACACATGTGCTCTGACAATGACAGATGTTTTCAAATTATTTATCTTTCACTTACAGCTCAGCCAACAACTCCTGTACCACCAGTAACAACTGCTGGACCAACTACAGCAAAACCAACAACTGCTGGACCAACTACACCAAAACCAACAACTGCTGGACCAACAACGGCAAAACCAACAACTGCTGGACCGACTACACCAAAACCAACAACTGCTGGACCGACTACACCAAAACCAACAACTGCTGGACCGACTACACCAAAACCCACAACGGCAAAACCAACAACTGCTGGACCAACAACTGCTGGACCAACTACAGGAAAACCCACAACGGCAAAACCAACAACTGCTGGACCAACTACAGCAAAACCAACAACAGCTGGACCAACTACGGCAAAACCAACAACTGCTGGGCCAACTACACCAAAACCAACAACAGCAAAACCAACAACTGCTGGACCAACTACAGCAAGACCAACAACTGCTGGACCAACTACAGCAAAACCCACAACGGCAAAACCAACAACTGCTGGACCAACTACAGCAAAACCAACAACGGCAAAACCAACAACTGCTGGACCAACTACACCAAAACCAACTACAGCAAAACCAACAACTGCTGGACCAACTACAGCAAAACCAACAACTGCTGGACCAACTACAGCAAAACCAACAACTGCTGGACCAACTACACCAAAACCAACTACAGCAAAACCAACAACTGCTGGACCAACTACAGCAAAACCAACAACTGCTGGACCAACTACAGCAAAACCAACAACTGCTGGACCAACTACACCAAAACCAACTACAGCAAAACCAACAACTGCTGGACCAACTACAGCAAAACCAACAACTGCTGGACCAACTACAGCAAAACCAACAACTGCTGGACCAACTACACCAAAACCAACTACAGCAAAACCAACAACTGCTGGACCAACTACAGCAAAACCAACAACTGCTGGACCAACTACAGCAAAACCAACAACTGCTGGACCAACTACACCAAAACCAACAACTGCTGGACCAACAACGGCAAAACCAACAACTGCTGGACCGACTACACCAAAACCCACAACGGCAAAACCAACAACTGCTGGACCAACAACTGCTGGACCAACTACAGGAAAACCCACAACGGCAAAACCAACAACTGCTGGACCAACTACAGCAAAACCAACAACAGCTGGACCAACTACGGCAAAACCAACAACTGCTGGGCCAACTACAGCAAAACCAACAACAGCAAAACCAACAACCCCTGAACAAACAACGGCAAAACCAACAACTGCTGGACCGACTACACCAAAACCAACAACTGCTGGACCGACTACGGCAAAACCAACAACTGCTGGACCGACTACACCAAAACCAACAACTGCTGGACCGACTACAGCAAAACCAACAACAGCTGGACCAACTACAGCAAAACCAACAACTGCTGGACCGACTACACCAAAACCAACAACTGCTGGACCAACTACGGCAAAACCAACAACTGCTGGACCGACTACACCAAAACCAACAACTCCTGGACCGACTACACCAAAACCAACAACTGCTGGACCGACTACACCAAAACCAACAACAGCAAAACCAACAACTGCTGGACCAACTACACCAAAACCAACAACAGCAAAACCAACAACTGCTGGACCGACTACACCAAAACCAACAACAGCAAAACCAACAACAGCTGGACCAACTACGGCAAAACCAACAACTGCTGGACCGACTACAGCAAAACCCACTACAGCAAAACCAACAACTGCTGGACCAACAACTGCTGGACCAACTACACCAAAACCCACAACGGCAAAACCAACAACTGCTGGACCAACTACACCAAAACCAACAACAGCTGGACCAACTACAGCAAAACCAACAACTGCTCGTCCAACTACACCAAAACCAACAACTCCCAAACCAACTTCAAAGCCACCAAGTATGACATGTCCTTATTAAAGGGTTCCAATAATGCTATTCTTTATTTCTTTCCTTCATGTATTTATTTTCCCTCATTTTTCATCAACCCATTCATTTTCTCTGTACAGACCCATGCCCTCCTGATGCAGAGTATATAGAATGTGGTCCAGCTTGTATCCCCACCTGTATGGAACCCTCCACCAACTGTTCTGGCTCGTGTATCAGTGGCTGCTTCTGCAAACCAGGCTTTGTCTTTAAGGGACGGCGCTGTGTGCCACTGGAGAAATGCGGCTGTCTGGATGACAAGAATAACTATTATGAGGTTAGATTTTCTAGTTAAGTTACCATGTACATAATTGTTTGGTGAAAAAAAAAAATGTAATGGCAAAGCAGTAAATTACGAGAAGGTTGTACACTGCCAATACTGATCCTTTGTTGAATTTTGTTTCAGCCTGGTGAGATAATTTTTGGAGACGGCTGCTCGAAGCTGTGTCGATGTGCAGGGAACTACACTTTGGAATGTGTTGATAACTCCTGTGACCCCACTGAAGAGTGTCGCGATGTTAATGGCGTTGCAGGCTGCTATCCTAAAGGTAATAATGCCTCATAACTTGTCCAGTGGTGTGATTCAATAATCGCAACACTTTGACTTTGTTATTCTTCTCTTTTTGTGCTGTAGAGTTAACCCATTGTCCTGTAACTGTCAATTCTAACCAAAGTGGAATACATCCTGCTTCAAATTAACCATGATATAAGACTGAAACTTTAATTTATTTTGGGCGTTGTTAATCTTGAAATTACTTGCCAAACATATTTTAACAACATAACTGCTAACATAAAGCTTCTCATTTGTCAATCCTCCAGGTACATCCACATGCATAGCATCCGGTGATCCCCACTACACCACCTTTGACAAACGCAAGTACAACTTCATGGGCAACTGCACCTATCTGATGTCTGCACCCTGCAATGAGACAGCTCTGCCGTACTTTGAGGTCCATGCCGACAATGAAAATCGATATAACAGGCCCACTATCTCCTATTTGAAGGCCGTACATGTGTATGTACACAAGGTGAAAATCTCCATTCTCAAAGGTGGCACTGTGCAGGTAAGAAATGAGAGGAGGGAAACAGTTAAACAGGGTGGTAGGTGGTACAATCACACTATTGTCATATCTGGAAGCATACTGTTGAAAATGCTTTTTTTACAGTTACTAACACAATTACAGTGGAATTAGTAACTGGATTTTTTTTAAATGGCCTGTAACTCTGTAATTAATCATTATGCTATTCACACCTGCTTTCCCCATACAGGTGAATGGCACCAAGGTAAACCTGCCAGTGTCTCCGGTCCCTGGTGTTTCCGTATTCAAGTCAGGAAAACACTACACTGTTTCCATGAACTTTGGTGTGACTGTTCGCTATGATGGAAACCACTTCATGGACATCAAAGTGATCAAGGAGTAAGTGAAAACTGAACTGAACTGCTGTAACTGGATACTGATATTTACGTGCATTCTTCCCCAACCCCACACACAAGTCTATTTTCAATGGAAGTTTTGAAAAGAAGCTGACTGACTGATAATAATCAAGGCACAAACGTTTGGAGATTGTATGACATGGTGATCAGGTAGCAAAAGTGTAGCTCTGTAGCTCATTGTTGCTCTCACTTCCACACATCACTAGCTTGCTGGTTTTCTTGTATTCTGCAGCTATCAGAAAAAGCTTTGTGGACTGTGTGGAGATTATGATGGAGATGCCAGAGATGACTTCCGTAAGCCAGATGGATCGCTGACCAACAGTGCCAATGCCTTTGGACACAGCTGGAACACTGATCCAGAGTGAGTAGTGCAGTTGTCATGAAGGAGGAAATTAGCTATAAAGACCAAAACTGTTTTTGTACCAGGCTGTAAACATGGTTATTTCTGCTATTAAGTTGGACATTTTAACATGGGAGTCTATGGGGATTGACTCACTTTTAGAGCCAGCCTCAAGTGGCCATTAGAGAACTGGTTCTTCAGTGTTGGCTTCATTTTTTAGCTTCGGAGGTTGCCGCTTGGTCTTAACATCATAACTGTACTCAATGAATTGCCTTTTGTTGATCCACTGTGCAGTGGTTCACACAGAGCTTCTAACTGACTGACTGTGTGTATTAACAGGTGTAATAAGAAACCCAACACCACCATCCCTGGGTGTGAAGCAGGAGAGCAGGAACTGTATGAGAGCTCCGGATACTGTGGCATCCTGCTGGACAAAAAGGGTCCTTTCGCCGTGTGCCATCCCAAAGTCAACCCCAATGTAACTACACCCACATTCACACCACACACACACACATACAGACATATGCAGTGCAGTGCACATGCATATGAAGCAGTTCTCTTTTTTAATACTTTGAGAATTTAAGTTCACCCACAATTAAAAAAACAAGCAATATAATGTCATTAAAATAGCTGTGCCATTTTCTGGTGCCCTCTGTGAACTAAAGCAAGTGACAATTCTATTCATTTCATCATATTCATTTTATTCCACCCTTGTAGTGAATCATAAGATAAAAAGACAGAATTAATTGTTGTGTAACTCAACATTCCCTGTGTGTGTCTTCAGAATTACTTCAGGGACTGTATCTTTGACCTGTGTGAGCTGGATGGAGCCAAGCCCATTCTATGTGAAGCCATTGAAGCCTACGTCAATGAATGCCAGGACCGTGGGGTCAACATCGGACCTTGGAGGAATGAAACTTTCTGCCGTAAGTGTTGGGTGAATGAATGGATGAAGAAATGACAGGAGGATAAGTGATAGCTGGGAGAGGGGGCACACAGATACACAGCAGCTCTGCACACCCTGAATGACAGGCACCTAGAGAGGGCCGGTAAAGAGACTGACTTTATGGATGTTTTCACAGTCCAATGGGTCAAAGATGCAGCCAGATTTCACCCAGTGCTCCTGATGGCCAGTCCGACTATGATAGACACACACACACACACACACACACACACCGACACAGACGCAGTGTTTGTCTGTGTGTGTGTGTGAGAGAGAGAGAGAAAGAAAGAGAGCGAATCAACAAACCGGCAATGAAGTTAGATTAGATTTTAGCACCATTCTGTCCAGTCTAAGCCTCTTTGCCCTATCACTGACTTCAGCTTCCCATCCTCCCTCTAGCCCTGAGCTGTCCCCCCAATAGCCACTATGAGCCCTGTGCAGACCCCTGTCAGCAGACATGCTCTGGGAAACCTCCCTCCTGTGGTGGGCCCTGCTCTGAAGCCTGTGTGTGTGATCCTGGCTACGTCCTGAGCGCCGGCAAGTGTGTGAAGAAGAGTTCATGTGGCTGCAAACACACCAACGGCCAGTATTATGAGGTACACAGGGGTGTGTGTGTGTGTGTGTGTGTGTGTGTGTGTGTGTGTGTTCACATGATGTCCAGGCCAGCTGTGCCCACCATGTTATTCAATGTTATTGGTTTAAGCTTCTACCTCCTAACACAGCTGAAATGTGTGTGTGTCTCAGCCTGGAGAGGAGTTTTACGTGGAGGACTGTAAGCTGAAGTGTAGGTGTAACGCCCCCTTCGTTACCTGTGTGGCCTCTGACTGTCCCCCGATGCATGAGTGTAAACTCCAGGATGGAGAGCTGGGCTGCTATCCCACTGGTAAGCCTTACTCTTGGCTCAGTGGGAACTGAAGTGGATATTAACTAAAAGCTGAGTTGGTTGGCAGCTGTGTTATAGTCTGATGTCCTGCGGTTGTTCAGTTCTGTTGGTCCCTCTCTCTCAGGCTCTCAGGACTGTGTGGTCTCTGGAGATCCACATTACAACACATTTGACAAGAAGTTCTACAGCTTCATGGGAACATGTACCTACACGCTGGCCAGAACCTGCAAGAACAACACAGGTAGGAACAGGACATTTATGTATTTATATATTAACTATCTCTTCCATGAGGAACACAGTTTTATCATGTTTGTTTTTCTCAACATTTGACAAAGAGGCATAAAGTCACATCGGATTTTCACTGAAATGATGTTTAGGAAATACTGAACTTTGTTTTATGTGTATGGAGCGAAATCTGATCAATGACAACTGCTTGTGAAAGTGAGTTAATTAATCCGATCTTTGCAACACAAGAGAACTAGTTCTCTGATGTTTTCCCTCAACTGTGGAAGAGGCTGATATGAATTTACTCACTTGAGTGACAAAAGGTTTGGTGTTGTGCTCCCTGCGCAGGTCCTTGGTTCTCAGTGGAGGGGAAGAATGAGGAGAGAGGAGTGCCAGGTGTGTCCTACCTAAGAAAACTCTATGTCACTGTGAATGGAATCACTGTGACCATGATGAAGGCCAGAAGGACTCTGGTCAGTATGAAACACACACACGCACACATGTGCACACACACGTGCACACCAGCTACAGCACTCTCCCTTTATCAGTCCTAATCCTCTGGTTTAGTGGAATTACAACTTAAAGCCTGCCCATGGTTCTCTTCACCTTTTTTATTTGATCTTATCCTCATTCTTTGACTTTCATCTCTTTATTCTCTTTATTCCATAATCCCAGAAATCCGCCCACACTATTCCTCCCTATCCTCCTCTGTTTGATTTGTCAAAAGATCAAAGAGGTTTTCTCAGCGTCAGTGCTTTGTCATCTTATCCCAGAGAGCAGGAGATTTAAATCCTATGTGCTGGGTTTTTATCCATGTGTCTTATGATCTGTGATGCGTCACAGTTTCTAAAGCTGACAGGAAACTGTAAATGTGTATGAACTGTACCTGTAGCTTCTGTTTGACACCGTCTTTCCCTCTGGCAGGTGAATGGAGTGCGAGTGGCCCTCCCTCACTCCCCCTCTCCTCTCATGACTCTCAGTCTTGCCGGTCAGTACATCACCCTGCAGACACCGTTTGGCCTCCGGGTGCGTTGGGATGGAAACCATCACGCCCAAATCACAGTTCCCAGGTTGGTATAAAGGTTTGTTCAGAGGTGGTCACACCATGTCAGAGGTTGATTTTGATGATGATGATGTTTACTAAATATGGCTGCTGTCTTAATAATATGAACTGAATTGTTCTGGTGTTTTATGGTCTCCTTGTTGAAACATGACAGTGCACTTTTCTCTTTTTTGTTTGGAAAACAGTTGCACACAGATTGTATGTGCTGTGGCCCTGAGAGCTCAAAGCACTGCAACTTAAGAAAACAGACAAATCACAAACAGCCTCAAAAAACATCTTCATCAATTTGACAACACATGACCTAACTGTAGCAGCCGGGCCGGGGTTTGAGTGCTGCATATCAATCTCTCTCTCTCTCTCTCTCTCTCTCTCTCTCTCTCTCTCTCTCTCTCTCTCTCTTGCATGTATTTTCTTAAGTTGCAGTGCAGTGAGCTCTCAGGGCCACTGTATGTACGTAAAGTAAAGCAGGTAAAAAAGTATAAAGCACGACACAAACAACAGCAATGAGAGCACTTTGTAATAGTTAATAACAAAAGTAGAAACTAAAGAGCCAAACAGAATAAATGTTTCTCATGTAGTTAACTGAAACTCTAACATTGAGTCACAAAGTCAATCTGTCCTTCCCAGCTGCGTTCACAGTGTCGGGTCTGAGAAAATAATCCTGTAAAACACACTCAGAACAACCTCACACAACAACCAGTATTGTGATTCTAATGAGATATAGTCACAGGTTTTCAATCCATGGTTTTTACTGAAATGATGAACACTAAGTCTATTTAGACTGGACATTGTTAACTTCAATGGCATCTCTGGAGCCCATGTTTCTAATCTCCATACAGTCGCCTTTTTAAGTCATACAACCTTGGCCTGATGGAGTCAAGTCAGAGTGAAACATGCACCTCAGTTCATGCCACTCAGAGAGAATACACATCCATCCTTTGAATTGACAAACACAACTTTAAACACAGATTATATCGAGTGCTTTCTCAACGAATATCTTTAACTGTATGAATTTCCTCAAATGATATATACATATAATGGTCTAGAGAAAACATCATAATTTAATCTCAGTTTAGGTCGACACAACTGAAGAGGTATATTTCATGAACATTGCTTAAGAAATCAGCTGAGCATCTGTGCAAGCTGCAGTTTAAAGCTCATACAGATTTTCAATAAATCCTCCCAGCATCTCTAATGCTTTGGTTATATACTGTATTGATGATACCCTGACTTATAGTAATGAAGAGATTTCTACATCTTGTGTCTTCGTTGAATTCCATTAAAGGGCCAAACGTTATTTGTCCTTGTTAATCTTCTTAAGACCTTCCACTTCATCTCTTAATCCCTTATTCTCGGTGTCTTGGTCTATTCAGCTCCTACTATGACCAGATGTGTGGTCTCTGTGGTGACTACGATGGGAACCCAAACAATGACTACACCAAACCAGATGGCACCCTGGTAGGAAATGTCAACGACTTTGCAAACAGCTGGCAAACAGAAGAGGATGAGGATGATTCGTGAGTTTACACACATCCATCGTTCTGCTGTAATCTGAGAATTTTTTTTTTTTTTAATTCTTTGGATACTCAGGCATGTGACTAAGCCACACATGAACCAGGCTCATGAATTGACTCATGCAGTCAGTTAATGTTAGTTTGGGGGTGAAAAAATATAGAAGTATATCTAAAATATATAATATGGATATTTACGATTATATAATCGCTTAATTTAAATATATTTAATGAATTGCATTTTCTAGAGAAATTGTTTTTGTATGAAAAAATTATTTTGAGAAAACAAATGTGAAAAATGATTAGTGCACTCAGAATACAGACACAAATATAATTATCTTGACACTAACTGCTGTTGATGAAAGAAATGGAATGTGACCCCGCTGTGTCTGTATTGATCAGGTGTACCCCAGGCACCAAGCCCGACCCAGACTGTGACCCCAAACTTGAAGCTGAGGTGGTGAAACCAGACAAATGTGGCAAAATTAAAGACCCTGCTGGACCTTTCAGGTGAGAAAGATATTGAACTGCTGTGAACCTGTTGGAACCACTGAAACCACCTCCCTGCTGAAATACTCGTTCAGTATCTGAACAATTGTACAGATGGCTGAAATACGACTGAACGTGGCCATTGCCCACAGTGAACATGTCCTGATGTCCTCTGTGTTGTCATTTGTTTGTTTGATCCATTTTTATATCTTTAACTTTAATAGTCAATATTATTCAGGTTGTCTTCTTAAATTAAACCGTCCAAGTCCCCGAAAGCTTTGATCCAACGTTTCCCATGATGCAACTTGATAGTGTCTCATGTTAGACTTTCCTGATAAATGCTTTTTGTTATGAATCTGTCGTCTCCAAGCCGAAGTCCAGACGCTCAGTGACATCACTGTGACATCATCAGGGATAGTCGCTAAAAAATGGTAGAATGTCCCTTTAACAGTGTTAAAGTTATTAACACTTAACACTTAATTAACTGAATATTTTTTCAGAATTTGTGAACTGAAGTAGTTATAGAGGCGTTCATGTTGATTTTCTTTTTTTCTGCAGTGACACCTCGGTGTTAGTTTATGTCCGTCATTTACTGAACATTGTTAAAATTTGAAAGCATTGAATTTTCTTAACGTGAAAATTACTCATTCATTTTTAAGATAATTATTCTTGTCAAGTTGATATAAGATAATTATTCTTGTCCTGTTGATATAAGATAATTAAGATAATTATTCTTGTCCAGTTGATATATATCGTTCAGTAAACCCATAATTAAATGTCTATATTTGACTATGTTAATGTTTCACCTTTAAACAATATCAGAAAAAGGACATGAGCACGTGTTTATCATATTAAATACTGTGTGCAGGGGGAGTTCCAGGGTGTGGTACTTACATCAGTCTGAATACTTTTATCTGATTTTTTATCGCTTCAGTTTTGTACCTGTTTTACAACTGTACAGAAAACAGGCGTTTTATTTTGAAAGAGGTGGCCAGAGGTGACAATGACCGCACAGAAACCATAAACAAGTGTCTATAAACTTTGTGTTACACAGATTATCTGACTCACTATCTGGGTTCAGATTACAGTTATAGCTTGTTCATGGAATATCATAGGAACAGCAGTGGACTCTGAACCACACACACACACACACACACACACACACCTCAGTGCTGTTGCATGTGATTCTTCTTCTATCATCCCTCTTTTCCTTTCGTCTCTCTACAGTCAGAATCAACAATAACATAATTAAAATAGATGATAGATAACAGAGATATAAACATTATAGTCTTATGAAAATATAGTGACTATTATCAGTAGCAGAGTAAACCAAATGGTGCTTTAGTGAGTGTAGTAATTGTGTCATAATAAACTACAGTGTGTGTTCGTGTGGTGGAAGGAGCAGACTTCCCTCTCGCTGGTTGGGTTATTTAGGATATGCTTTCATGTCTTTCATATTTAAATGTAAAGAAATCTTTTCGAGGACCGAGTTGGGGCCAATAAGAGATTTCTGTCAAACGGCAGATATTTGCTGTCTTTCTTTTCCTTCTCCTCCCCAAACTGAGTGAGTGTTGTTCTGTGTTCCAGGGAGTGTATCAGTGTGGTGGATCCCACTCCATTCTTCAAGAGCTGCGTGTATGACATGTGTCAGTTCAATGGCCAGCAGAAAGTACTGTGTGACCAGCTCCAGGCCTACACTGATGCCTGCCAGACCCACGGAGCCAAAGTCCACCAGTGGAGGACTCCAGACTTCTGTCGTAAGTCTTCAGCAGCTCAATGATTAACTTTTCTTTTTTCTGGTCGAGGCGCAGGACATCCTGAGTCAAGGCAGCATCAAGCATCCTACTTTGAATTCATCCTCTGACGTTCTCCATCATCTGCACCCCCCTCCCTCCCTCCCTCCCTCCCTCCCTCCAGCCCTGGCCTGTCCTCCCAACAGCTCCTACTCTCTGTGTGTGAGTTCGTGTCCGGAGACGTGTCTGGGTGTGGTCGGAGCCCCTGGCTGTGAGGACGTGTGCCTGGAGGGTTGCGAGTGTAACCCAGGCTTCATCCTCAGCGACAACAAGTGTGTGGCTCTGAAAGACTGTGGCTGTGTGGACACCAGTGGAGCCTATCACCCTGTAAGTGGGAACAAACCACATCCATTTATCTAGAACTAAAACAATTCATTTTTTGTTGATTGGTGTGTGATCTTCACCGTGTGTTTGTCAGGTGGATGATGAATGGTACTTGGAGGGTTGCGAGCAGGAGTGTGTGTGTCACAGTGGAGGTCTCATCCAGTGTCGCAACAGCAGCTGTAAACCAAGCACTGAGAGCTGCCAGCTACAAGATGGAGAATATGAATGCCGCCCTCTGGGTATGTTACATAGACATACACAACACAAACGCGCACACACACACACACATAGACTTAAACTGCATTAGCGATTCTCTGATTATAGAATCTATTTAACAGCTGATGGGCTGTGGGTGGGTGAGATAATATGTAATGTATGAGGAAAATATAAATTAGAAATGTGTAGCTTCATTTTTCAGCTTCACTGTGTTTGGACTGCTGAACTCGTTATGATGTATTACTGTTTATTATGAGCTTTTAAACTGCTCATGTTCAGGAAGTATCAGAGGCATTCAGAATATAAACATCAGATTGTGTTCAGTGGAAAAACCTGCTACAGGAAAGTTTTTCTTTAAATAAATGTTTATTTAAAACCAGCCGACTTCAGTGTAATGTGTTACCGTATCATCACACTGAGAAATAATATTGAGGTCTGGTCTGGTTCTTTGTATATTCTCTACTGAAGCACAACATCAAGAATGTAGACCTGCTGTGGTCCTGAGTTGAGGGGATCTTGTGTCGAAGTCAAGGTCTTCATTATATCAGCTGATATTGTGCTTTCAGTCCAGACACATTTTTGTTCTTCAAGCTCCAGGCTGAAATAAAATAAGTTTAAATAAGGGCCAAGTCTCAGCTTTAATTTGCACAGGTTTACATCACTGTGGACAGAAGTGAGGAAAGAGCCCATCAGCGTGAAGTCTAAACTCTCACCTCTCTTGTTCAGGAACCGGTATCTGCTCAGTATCTGGTGATCCTCACTACAACACGTTTGACAAACGCACACACAATTACATGGGAGCCTGCTCCTACACCCTGACCAAACCCTGCAACGTCTCCTCCGACTTGCCGTACTTCACTGTGGACACCCAGAACGAGCACAGAGGAAGTAATAAGAAGGTTTCCTACGTCAGAGCTGTGGTGATCAATGTGAACGGTGTGACTGTCATCCTCGGCAAGAGCCGTAGAGTCCAGGTAGGTCGCCTTGACAGGATGGTTAACATTCTGCTGTGTGGTACCATGTCAGACTTAGAGCTTAACTAATAACATTATTAATGTTTTACATTGCAGTGATCATTCATTTTATTAGTTTCCTGCTGCGACAAGTCAAAATAGATAAACATGGCGCCTCCACACTGTCCGTCCTCTCTTCTTTGACCTCTGTCCATCATCTGAGTAAATGTGTCTCTGTTCTTCAGGTCAATGGGACGGTGGTTGTCCCACCTGTCACCTCCATCAGTGGAGTCAAGATCTACCTGAGCGGAAAGTTTGTTCTACTCGAGACCTCCTTCGGCCTGAGGGTGCGTTTCGATGGTAACCACCACGCCGACGTCACCGTGCCGACCTCCTACAATGGCCTGCTCTGTGGCTTGTGTGGTAAGAACCAGTATAAGTAATGAGTCGTGTCCCATTTCAGCATCCAGACATTTTCACCTTCCACTGCCTCAGTGTAGCTCTGCAGCCCAGCACTACCAGGTCCAACCAGAAGCATGTCCCAGAGGCAGCCATGTTGACCGATCACTCTGTAGTGAGTCTCTGTATTTGTTGCAGGTAATTTCAATGGAAACTCAAAAGATGACAACTTGAAACCAGACAATACACCAGCTGCTAACACCAATGAACTGGGAGACAGCTGGCAGGTTCCTGACCCACGGCCTGAGTGAGTGACATCACTGTATAAATACAAACCTATCAAACAGAACAACTATTGCCCTTTTTCCACCAATCTTAGTGGGTATAAGTGGATTTTTTAACGCGGGTAAACCCTCTAATAAAAGCCTTTTCCACTGCCAGTCCAGTTTGCTTTTCAGCTGCTAGCCGCTGGTAAAATGGATCTGTCAGATCTCATCTCCGAGTTGGTGCTCCAGTGTCGAAGCCTCCGATTGAGACACTTTGATCAATTATTGTGTGTTTTAAAAACTTATTTTGAAGCTCCACTCATCCCTCCGTGTGCAGTGTAGTCGCGGTGTTTCCAGTTGACAGGTGACAGTGTGTTTACCGTGTCCGTGCTCTGAAAGATGTTACAGCAGGAAAGGGGCTGAAAATTAGCGTGTTCACCTGGGTGTTGTGTTTACATCAATGCCAATCAGAGCTGATCAGAGCCAGAGCCGATAAAAACCAGTGTCTACTGCAGAGTCATTTGACCCGGGTGTGAATGCCAATTGTTCCCTTTTTTCCATTGCTGTCAAAAGCCTGATGTTTTGACCAGTGAGACAGGGGCTTTATGTCCTGGGAATAGTGGCTTTATTTGCCTCAGTGACAAAGAGGACCAGGGCCACATTGAGAAAAAAAAAGAAATCTGAAATTTCGAGAATAAAGTCATAATATTATGAGAAAAAAGTTGTAATATTACAAGAATAAAGTCGTAATATTACAAAATCAAAAATTATGACTTTATTCTCATATTTTTTTTTTTCTTATAAAATTACAATTTTATTCTTGAAATTTCAAAAAAGAAATTCCTCAATTTGACCCTAATATTATGTTGTAGTAACAGGCTTTAAGTAGCCAGACTCATGTCCACTCACTAAATCTTCTTAAACACTTGAATCTTTATTCACTAATTTATTTTTCCTTGACTTTAATTTCACTGACGTAACAGTAATTTAAACAAAGTTAAAGCAACTGTGAATAAAAACAGTATTTTTGTCAGACAAGAGAAACTGATTGCAGAAATATATGTTGTGCTAAATCTACCATGTTATTACCATTATATAAAGACCCCAGTTTAACAGTTTAAAGCTCAGAAACTCAGACACCATAGTCGTTACACCTGTTCAGTGTCAAAGGCTGAAACAGCCCTTATTACATATTCAAAAGTGATTCAGCTATTATTCATATAGATATGATATAGAATTATATGGATATAGATAAATAGGAAAATATAGATTTATTCATATAGATTTCAGTCAAACCCGCCACAATCACTTTATTCTGTTCTAATTAATCCTCCACCTTTTCTCTAGCTGCACCAATGGCGGAGAACAGGAAGACTGTGATGACGACGTGGAGGAGGAGGCCCAGAAGCCCACCAACTGCGGCATGATCACTGATCCCAATGGTATTACACACACACACACACACACACACACACATACAACACACAACACACAACACATGTCAACGCTTTGTAGACCACATCCACTCATCATCACCACTGGCATCACAATCTCTGCCTACATATCATATACATCATCATACAGACATCAGGGGAAAGTGAAGGTGGAGCAGGTCATTATGTGAATGAAGAACATACAGCGTTAAATACATCTGGTGTCTGGACAAGAAGCACCAAACTCAGCACAGGGGGGAGTGTAGATACTAACCTCCTGTCAGGGAGTGGAGACTAGGGCTGAGGGAATGTGAGAGAGTGATTATCATATCACATGATTAGTTATAAAAGAACGATGATGGAGTGTGTATGAATATGAAAGATACATATTGTTAACTTGATGAGTGTTTTCCTTTAAAAGCCTCACAAATGTCACAAAAATATTGTTTAGGAGCCCAGAAATGCTGAACTTGGCCCTTGATACTAGAACTGATACTACCAGTAGAGTAGCCTGATACTGCTGAAAGTGATCACTGAGTGAAGTGAGTGTCCCTGGCATTCACCTCCACATGTGTTGTGAACCTCAGGTATCTTTAAGCCCTGCCACTCGGTGGTGCCCCCTGAGCAGTACTTTGGAAACTGTGTGTACGACATGTGTGCTACTGGAGGTCAGACCGTGGCTCTGTGCCAGGCCATCGAGAGCTACGCTGACATGTGTGCTGCTGCAGGAGTCCCCATCACATGGAGAAACAACACCTTCTGTCGTAAGTCTGTGTGTGTGTGTGTGTGTGAGTGTGTGTGTGTGAGTGTGAGTGTGAGTGTGAGTGTGAGTGTGTGTGTGAGTGTGTGTGTGTGTGAGACACAAAGACCTTTAACAGTGTGTCATGTCATCACTATCAGGTTTATCAGGAAGAAATGACATGTTAGGTCTGAGTTGATCATTCACTTTAGAGAGGTTTAGTTAGTTTTACATTTTAAAGACAGAATTTTTCATTGTAAGAAAATGTTCCTTTTACTAATGAAAAGCTGAATTAATAAAAAACATATAGAGTATAGTTTTGCCTTGACTTCAATGTGAATACTTCACCTTTATTATTCTGTTGTCACTGAAGTCTTCAGTAGAAGAAAAAATGAGTGGTCTCCAGTCTGTTTTCCTTTCAGACCCAGTGACATGTTAAATTCAGAGTTCACACTGGTTCAAAAAGGACTCATTAAAAAACTATAAATTGCAGCATTGCATTTGAAGATATATATATATATATGTATAGCAAGGAGGAGAGGACATAGAGCGGGAAAACCACTAATCAGAAGTTGGATCCCCAGCTCCTCCAGTCTAAATCGAAGTGTCCTACTACTAGGACCGAACCCCAAATTGCCCCGGATGTACCATCAGAGTGTGTGTGATGTCTATATCAAGCACTGTATGAATGTGTGTGTGAATGAGTGAATGCGACTAGTAGTGTAAAGTGTTTGTGAAGACAAGAAAAGCGTTTTAGAAATGCAGTCCATTCACCATGCACTCAATTTCATTTCCATTTCATTTAAGATTGAGGAACGTTATAATGCTGTCTTCCTCCCTCCAGCTCTGAAGTGCCCTCCAGGTAGTCAGTACACCCCATGTGGCCCCGCCTGTCCCCAGCCCAGCTGTCAGGATCCTGCGGGCCCCGGTGGCTCTTGCAACCAGCCGTGTGTGGAGGGATGCATCTGTAACCCCGGTCTGGTCCTCAGTGGAGACAAATGTGTCCCACTCAGTGAGTGTGGGTGCACTGATGAAGATGGAAAGTACAGGCCGGTAGGTGCTGACGCTCAGCGGGAATGATTTTCACGTTGTTGCAGTTTGAACATGAGTTGAACTTATTTATCTGCACTGTTGATGTGCGGCTGAGTGCAGGTGGGAGACAGCTGGTTCACAGAGACGGACTGCTCAGAGCGCTGCAAGTGTAACGGCAACCGCAACATCACCTGCGAGCCCTGGCAGTGCAGCCCCGCTCAGGAGTGTAAAGTGGTGGAAGGAGTACTGGACTGCCATTCAACAGGTAAACTCATCACCACACCTGAAGCTGTGTCAGTGTGAACTTCAGTCTTATTGTTGTAGTTTTCTTCATCATGTCCTTATACATTATATTATTATTATTATTATTATTATTATTATTAATAGTAGTAGTAGTAGTAGTATTTCTACTTGAGCCAATCACTGATCACCAGATACATTCATTTCCTCCTCAGGTAAAGGAGTGTGTCATGTGGCTGGAGATCCTCACTACTACACCTTTGACGGTGTGATGCACACATTCATGGGCACCTGCACGTACACTCTGGTGGAGGTACAGGATGAATTTGACCTATATTTTCACCATTTCATCATTTTTAATGAGACACACAAAACACAAAAAATAAATCCACGTTGTTTCAAATCCTTTTTTTTTTTTTTTTTTAATACTCTAGGTGTGTAACACCACCAGAGTCACTCCCTTTAAGATAGTGGCTAAAAACGAGGAGCGTGGTCAGCCAGAGGCCTCCTACGTTCGCTCTGTCAAAGTCTACCTGCCTCATGATAATGTGGTGGAGCTGCAGAAGAGCCGCAGAGTCCTGGTAAGGAAGGTTTTTTTTTTTTTTAAAGGCCTTAATGGATATGTGTTCACAACCGCATCAAACTGATGTCTGTGTTCTCTCTGTGTTGTTAGCTGAATGGACGACGGGTGCGTACACCAGTTTCCGTCGACTTGGCCGGAGCCAAGGTGATAACCAGTGGATCCTACAGTCTGCTGGACACAAACTTTGGTCTGCAGGTGAAGTTTGACGGAGTCCATCACCTGGAGATAACTGTTCCTGGAGAATACTTCAACAAGGTATGAAGACGTCACATCAGCCTTAATGACAGATGTTAATGACAGACAGTCCGACACAAAAGGTTTCACCACATGTATCACTCTAATTCTAGTTGCTTGGTGTTTTTAATGGATTGTAAGTGGTACAAGATACAAGCTGGTCTAACTGTAATTCAACCTCCCTCCTCTCCAGCTGTGCGGCATGTGTGGGAACTACAACCACAACTCCTCTGATGACAACCTGATGCCCAACAAGAAACCCGCCAAGGACGTGATTCAACTGGGCAACAGCTGGAAATCAGATGGAGACAGTGACCCTGGGTCAGTGGATTACAACCATATCAAAGTCTCATCTCATCTCAGTGTTGAGTTCCTGACATCGATCAGATTACATCTTATAATCAGTTTATTATAGATGCTATGAAAGATGTTTATGTTCTATTGATCTTTGTGTGCAATTGACCCTAAACCCTAAATGTATTCTACATTTACAATATCAAAATCATTTCAAATGTGTAAATGTTTTTTTTTTTAGAACAGTTCAAATGCAGAAAGAACTTGTAATCCCAAGAATTTATTTTCTGCTTGGAATCATAAGGTATATTTATAGGGTATGTAATTACCTGTAAGGCATTAGGCGGCTGGTGTGATAGCTAACAGTGAAAATAAACCGCTCAGCAAGATCTAAAATGATTGAAAAAAGACTAAACTGCATTTGATACGCTGTCCCTCTTATCCTCGGGGGATGGACAAGTGCTGATTTGCTCAGAGGTAGAACCTTACAAGAACCTTTACTGTTTTCTCGATAAGGAGTCCAAAAATGAAACCACCTCGCATAACGTTAATACGTTGTCACAGAATATGTGAATATCTCAATTTTGACAAAAAATGTCAGATAGAAGCTTATAATTCCAAGGGGACATTAATGGCAGCAGCACCATGTGATGTTAGGTCAGTCATAGTTAAAAGTGCACTTACCACTACAATGTAAAAAGTAAATACTATGATACATCACTACACAAATATTAAAGGAACCCATGAGGAAAGCCAGTCCTGCTCATAATGATTAAAAAAAAAAGAAAAGATTTTGAGTTACAGAAGACGTGTGTAAAAAATTAGGTATTTGAGGAACATAATCTGAAATAAAAATAACAGAAGCAGCGATGACGAATACGACGATTACAACTTTATGCTCATAATGTATGATTTTTTTCCCTCTGTTTGGCCCCTAATACTCCGTCGTACTTGAAGCTTTATGACATCATTAAATTCCTGTACATAAGCTCATTATTTTTAATTAACCTCATCTTCTTTTGACAGTTAACACCTTCTTTACCGATATGATAATCTGAGCTTTATGAAATATAAACACTCCCGGTCTCTTCATACAGGAGTAGGTCCATTCAGTAATCGATCAATAACAACATACTGCTGATTAACAGGGTGAACTCAGTGATCTTATCGTATGTGATACAGACAGATTTAAAAACATTGTCATTTAGAAAAACACAAGTTCCTACACCACTCATCCAAACATCCTCCTCCGCAGCTGTCAGCCGGACACTCGTCCAGACATCCACCCCAACTGCACAGCAGAAGAAGAGAAGCTGTTTGAGGCTCAGTGCGCCGAGGTCATCCTCTCCGACCGCTTCAAGCCCTGCCACTCTCTGGTGCCCCCCGAAGCTTTCCTGGGTAACTGCGTCTACGACATGTGCGAGTATGACGGCATGCAGGCGACGCTGTGTGACAACACGGAGGCGTACGCTCAGGCCTGTCAGAGCGCGGGCGTCACCATCAGCTGGAGGAACAACACCTTCTGTCGTAAGTTACAACCATCACAGTTCAACTAAAACCTTCTAGTTTTACTCTTTTTCAAACGTCATCCTCTGCTCTCCCCGCAGCGCTGCCCTGCCCTCCTAACAGCCACTTCTCAGACTGTACCGCCCCCTGCCCCCCAACCTGCTCCGACCTCTTCCCCATGGTCTGCCACCTCCCCCCGACCACCTGTGTGGAGGGCTGCCAGTGTGACGCCGGTCATGTGCTGAGTGACAACAAGTGCGTTCCTCTGCACGAGTGTGGCTGTGTGGACTCAGATGGAGAATACCATGATGTGAGTGATGTTCACACTGATGATGGGTCTGAGCAGAAAAACATCCTGAAAACACATGCAGCCATTAAAATCTAACCGGGACTGATTTTAGTAGAAAACCAGGCAGTCTGCAGTCAGGACCCACTGAAGAGTTCACAAAATAGATCTGAGAGTTCACAAAATGATTAGAAGAACAGAGAAGAAAAAAAGATAAAAGTGTTTTTTTTCTACACAATTTCCTTGGCTCCTTTAAACTCGTTCATTTATTGTTTGCTCGGTACCAAATTACACAGTTCTTTCCACAAACCTTCCTAGGAAAATATTAGTATAATAGTATAATAATAACAATAAGAAGAAGAAGAAGAAGAAGAAGAATGAACTCAGTTTGTATAGCATCTTTGATACAAGAAATGTAGCACAATGTGGTTTGGCACAAGAAATGACATGCACCCAGTGCTTCACATAAAATAAATGAATGAAACTGTTCACATCATCATCACTAACTGTTAATTAACTGTTAATTAATGAATTATATTGCACTTTTATTGATTGACAGTCAGCACTTCTTTTAGTTGAAGCAGGTATAAAACAAATATGACATCACTGTATTCAATATCATACACTGACGATGTGTGTGTGTGTGTGTGTGTGTGTGTGTGTGTGTGTGTGTGTGTATATGTGTGTGTGTGTGTGTGTGTGTGTGTGTGTGTAGGTGGGAGACTCGTGGCTGACAGATAAGTGTGCTGAATCCTGTGTGTGTAACCTTGGTGGTAAAATCACATGTAAGGACCACAGCTGTAAGTCAAACTCAGTGTGTGCTCTGGACAAAGATGGAGACCTCTACTGCAAACCCACCAGTGAGTCACATATCACAGCTGAGAGACCTTAAAATGTGCATGAAGAGTCAATGAGTAAATGTCCTGTCGTACATCTTGGCGTTGTTTGAATCCGAACCCATTTTAATCATCGAATGAACTTGTCGTCCTCCAGAGTTTGACAAGTGCAGCATTTCCGGGGATCCTCACCACCGAACATTCGACGGCTTCACCCATCACTTCCAGGGCCCCTACACCTACGTCCTGACTCAGGGCCACAACCTGCCGAGCTCCCTGTCGCCCCTGGTGGTTAGGGGGAAGAACATCAGACGTGGTGGGAACAGGAGGGTGTCATTCCTGGATCAGATGTACATTGATGTTTACGGTGTCAATGTTCGCTTCCTGCCGAGGAAGACCGTCCTGGTCAGTAGTTTCTCTCATGGAGCACCATCGATTTGTGGAGTATAGATAATCATACATATAATAATCATACTGTACCTCCTGTAGGTGAATGGGGAGCGTGTTGCGCCTCCTCTCAGTCCAGTTGATGGTTTGACCATCACGATGAACTCCAGGCAGGTGCAGCTCACCACTGACTTCGGACTCACTGTTCGCTTCGACGGCAACATACGTGGAGGTAAGAGAAGAAGAAACGTTTGCTACACTACCTGAGGCTTCTTTGGCTCTTCCGTGAATCCACTCACCCCCCTCCTCTGTCTCTCTGTGTGTGCATCAGAGATCATTCTGCCCAGCACATACAAGAACTCCGTCAGAGGCTTGTGTGGAAATTACGACGGCATCACCAGGAATGAGTACATGAAGCCTGACGGGACGGTGGTCAGGAACCTGAACGAGTTCGGAGAGAGCTGGAGGGTCACTGATCGCCAGGCTGGACTGAAGAGCTACGACCTCCCTCACACAGTCCATAGGTAGGACCGCAACCGGGGTCACTGCCTTAACTCTAAACACAGTCTCTGTACATACACACTTATATACTCTAACTCAAAAGGGTTGACTGACTTTTCTGCCACTGTAAGTGCACTTGAATTTTTCAGCATCTATATGTTGGGCCTGTAAAAACCCAGAGCAGTTTTTATGAAATAGAACTATTTGTGTCATCATCACTGTTTCAGCTTGAGACCTTGGTTTTCCCGGTGCTCCCAGCTCTTATATAACATATAATAGTTTTTTATCAACACATGCTACTGATGAGTACTAAGGTGAAGGAGATGCCGGCACACACACTTGATATATATAGTCTTGATATTTAATATGGGGCAAACAACCAAGACGTTTCAGCTGTAAACATCATCAGCGTAAGAAACAGTGGTAAATCAGACAATATATATATATATATAGATAAACAGCAGAGGTTAGAACATGACTGGTTGATGAGGCGCGTCTCTGAATGAACCACCAGAGGGGGAGTGGCTGTACGAGATCAACACCAGAACAACAAATTAGACATTCAAGAACAAACTCTTATATAAACCTCCACCATCTCATGGCTATACAATCCGAAACTTAGAGGAAAAGGCTATCTTAGAGAACATCCAAACTATCCAGTAAATAAAGGCTTGAGGATGTACAGCACACAAAGGGTAGAGGAAGAAATTTTGAGTCTATATGATTTTATTTACCAACCTAGTTACCCCAGAAAACAAGTAGAATGATAAGAACAGAACATTTTCTATAAAAAGGAGGTTATTCAATTCAGTAAACATCATCCAGTGCATCTAAAGATCTGAATTCAACAGGACAAACAGCTTGTATGGAATAGAAATTAAGAGCTCATTTCAGTATCTCACTCAGGAGTTGGAGTCGTGCGCTGCCACTGTTTTGCTCTTATAACTTCTCACCAAAATATCTTCCTTGAAAGCTGATGATCTCAGTGAGTGTGTTCACGTGCACACTAGTATCCTGGTTTTGTTTTGAGGCTGTAAACAGCTTGCCCCAGTCTCAGAAACCTGGATATTACTACCTGCAGTACTCTCCGATAGAAACCGGGACACTTATCCAAGGTTTGTGAACCGAGACTGACCTGCAGGCACACCAACAGAAACCTGGACACCGTTATGAACGTGTAACAGAGACATGAGGAGCAGCAGTGTTGCTGTCATTGATTAGTTTCTCTTTTCCATCCGTCTCCAGGCGAGAGGTGGAGACTGATCCAGACTCAGGATTTGAGACGTCAGACTGCTCTGAGTCTCAGCTCAATGACTACAACAGTGCGGCTCAGTGTGGAGCGCTGTCTGACTCCAAGGGGCCGTTTGCTGCCTGCCATGCCACCCTGCCTCCCAAACCCTACCAGGAGTGAGTAGTCTGAGTGGGAGCATGTACAACACCTGATACACCTAACACCCCTCCCTGTATTCATTGTGTGTGTGTGTGTGTGTGTGTGTGTGACTCCCTCAGTGACTGTGTGTTTGACCTGTGTGCTGAGCGCGGCAGTGCAGCGCTGCGTTGTGCCAGTTATGAAGCGTACGCCGCCGCCTGTCAGGAGGCCGGAGTCAAACTGGGATCCTGGAGGCAGCAGCTGGACTGTGGTGGGTTGAACATTCACATTAGGTCAGAGGACAGTGGAGAGTGTTTCAGCACAAGATCGAACATCTGTGTACATCTGTGAACGTCTTTCTGTGGCTCTGGAAACCACATGTAGCTTGACAGTGTTGTGGTTTCTCTCTCTCCCAGCTCTCTCCTGTGACGCCAACAGCACCTACTCCCCCTGTATGTCGCCCTGCCCGGCCTCCTGCGCCAACCTGGCAGCACCCTCCGACTGTGACACCTCTTCCTGCGTGGAGGGCTGCCAGTGCGCCGCGGGCTTCGTCATGAGCGAGGGCATCTGCGTGCCGTACACACAGTGCGGCTGCACATTCCTCGACAGATACTACCCTGTAAGTCATCAAACAGTTACAGTACTGATTGTGATGATGATGATGATGATGTGATCTGATCTGATTTCATCCTCCCTCTCTCCTTTCTCCCTCCATCCTGCAGCTGAAGGAGACGTTTGTGACCGAGGACTGTTCTCAGACCTGTGAATGCACGAGCACCGGCGCCGCGTGCCGACCCAAGACCTGCCCAGATAATTACGTCTGCACCATCTATGACTTAAAACGTGACTGCTACAGAGGTGTGTGTGTGTGTGTGTGCGTCCCTTTAGCAGCATGTGAGGTAAACAGGGGCTGATAGGGCCGTGTCATGACCACGTGACATGTCATTTCTTAGGACTCATGAAATATTAAAATGTACACAGGTCTGTGAGTGAGCTTCCTCATCGTACACATTTATTCAAATAGCAAATGTTTGCTGCAGAGGTCATTCAGGTTGAATCTGTGTGTCACTAACAGTGGATCAGGGGCCAGTGTCACAGAGATATGTCAGACTGGTGTGTAGTGTTGGTCTGGTCTAATGTCAGACTGTTTCACAAAAATAAAGACTCATTTTAGGCCAAAAACATTAGACGCCTTACCTCCAAGCTAACTCAGTCCTAAGACCAATGTTACCATGGTAACAATCAGTGACACCTCTGCTGACCAGTAGCACCCAACAACAAAAAACAGGAAAACATGGCTCACAATTTGTGGTTTGCTAACATTATTATAGAGAGAGCAACGAGAAGGGAAAGAGTTTTTAGAGACAAAAATCATGTTTTTCTTTTTATCGTTTCCCTCTTCGTTCAATTTGCAAAGTAAAGTGTCCTTGTAACTCTTGAATTCTTCCAAAAGACAAACATTTTGGATGTGGTTCCGCATTCGGCCATTTTTTTTCTGTTGAAGAAAGTTTTCATTTACCCATAATTCATTGTACCAAAGTCCGACAGTCAAGAACTAAACTGTATTTGTGGAACGGGCGTCTCTCTGAAGTCTGACTATTTGTCATATGACAGTCAAAGTCTGTCTTTGTGAAACCGGCCCCTGGACCTGGTTTTCTGGAGCCTTGTTGATCTTCACTGACAACCTTCTTACAATACTTAAAGTACTGCAGGGAAACACGTTAAAGCTTTGGTAATCAGCCCACTGTGTTTGTGTTTGAATGATGACTGTGAGAGAAAAGTGTAAAAACTGGATCATGTTCTGTGTTGCAGCGAGTCCCTGCCTCAGTTACCCCTGTCAGAACGGAGGAACATGCAAAGAAGCCAGCAACAGCACCTACACCTGTCAGTGTGCAGAGGGCTTCGAGGGCACAAACTGTGAGGTGGAGGTGACACAGGGCGACGGACTGGGTACGTCACTCTTCAGGGAATGAACACACATCAAATAAATAAGCTTCTACAGCGACTGTGCTGTTTACATGACAGTTTAACTTAAGCTGAGTGAGGGAGTCAGTCTTGGACTGTGTTGGAGCAGTTTCTACCAGGAAAATAAAAACAGGCCTGAAAAGTTAGGAACAGTAAAAAACTTAATGGTACAGACTTTTTTCTTTTGTTGGCAGAAGGAGTCAAAGTTTGTTTGTTTGTTTGTTTGTTTGTTTGTTACAGAAACCAAGTGGATCATCCTGATCGCGGTCCTGGTCTCGGTCACTGCCATCATCATCATTGTGACCACTGTTGTGTGCGTGTGCAACCGCAAAACCAAGTGAGTTTCAGCTGCTTCTGTGGTGTACAAACATCCGTCTCAGCTGTAATTTTGAGCAGGTTTACATCAGTGCAACATAGGAACACCTGAGGAAAACCTCAATGTTGGTTGGTCAGCTGATTGTCACTCCAGCAGGAGGTTGTTCAGACAGGGAGTTGATGGAGAGTAGAGAATGAGGTGGTCCCTGAACACAAGGAGAAAACAGGAGACCATGAAAGTGAAGATTATAAAAATGATACAGCAGAAATCTGGTGGAAAAAAGAAAATCATGTTCATGGTGAAGAAAATCTCCTTCATGGCTGCACAGTAGGTGAGGAACAACACTCTACAGGAAGTAGGAGGTCATGTCAACGATGAGAAGACCTCAGGACAATAACAGAGGATTCACAACATGCAAACCCCTGGTAAACCTCAGACACAGAAAGGCCAGTCTGCAGTTTACTGAAAGAAACCTGGGAAAAGCCGGACAGATGAAACTAAAATCAACCTCGATCAGAATGAGAGAGGAGAGAGTGGAGCAACCTGATCATAGACCAGTCTAATGTTAGTCACACTGTTTCACGAAACTAAAGACTGACTTATTTTAAGCCAAAAACATTAGACACCTTACCCCCCAGACTAACATAAGACCAATGTTACCATGGCAACAGTCAGTGACACCTGCGCTGACCAGTAGCACCCTACAACAAGAAACAGGAAACCATGGCTCTGGCTTGTTTCAGTCTTCATACACTGTAAACAGAGCAGAGCGGTAGGATGCAGTTCCTCGGTCAGCCATTTTTTTAATTTGAAAAAAGTCTTAATTTACCCAGAATTCATTGAACCACAGTCTGTCATAAGATGGTCAAGAAGTAAACTGTATTTGTGGAACAGATGAATCCAGACAACGTCTACCTGAAGTCTGACTGTTCTATCTAAGGCTGTGTTTGTGAAAGGAACAGGAATATTTATTGATGTTTTCTGTCAGTTTCTGTGGCTTACTGTCAGTTAGCTTTTCAGGACCAAACACAATCAACAAATCCACAGAGACAATAAAACACAAAGGCTTACTGGATGGAACGACGCAGTGTGTAACAGGTAGACCAACCCAGGGTTAAGGTAAAAAGACAGACAACACTCAGGGACATAAACAGATAAACTACCTGAATGTGAAGGAAACACAGGCGGCAGGAGGAGACTCCAGGGAAAGACTGAAACTATCACAACGGAGGGAAACTAGACAAAGCCAGGAAGTAAAACAGTGGAGACACAAGGGACATTATTTCAAAATGAAACAGGAAATAAACAAAGTCCATACAAAGTGTCCAAACAGTGATTTTAGGGACAGACGGACAGAAGCAGCAGGATGAACACAGACGTCTACAGGAGCAGACAAATACGTCAGAGTGAAGAGCTTCTCAGTGAGTCCACCTGCTGAAGACCAGACTGAAGACGGAGACCACAACAAGAACAGGAGCTGAAGGAGTCTCCCACACAGCTGTTTCCATACTGATGTAAACCAACTCAAACTACAGCTGGTGTACTGCACATGTGTTTATATTAGATTTTTATCGTTATCATATTGTAGGACGGGGTGATGATGTGAACTTGTTTCACTTCTTTCCTCTGCCTTGTTTTGGCAGCAGGGACGTGACCAGTTAAGAAAAAGTGTCATTTTCCTTCCAGGTCACAAGTTTATGTAATTCAGAGGCAGAAATCATCCCACAGTGGGTGAGACAAAGTTATAATTCATCACCTTTTTGGGGGAACTCTCTGGGAGCATACTGTATCAGCACTGGGAAGGATGGGTGTGATTCACTGACCTTTATTCTACCTTACCTGTATCTGTACCTGTGTCCTCTGCTCTACCTGCATGTGTCACCTGTAGGTTGCTCACCTGGCTTCTTTGTCTCCACAGGAAAATGAAGCTTCAAGAGAAGAAGTTCAGCATGAAATCAGCAAGTAAGAATCATCACTGCTGTTCTTAGAGAAATAAGATGAACTTTGACCTCAGGGCTGAGACGACGTTGAGAGTCAACAGACAACTTCACACAGCTGATCTAACACAGAGTTTTTAGTCCTTACAAGTCCTTACCGAGCAAAGGCCAGAATAAATTATATTCAGACAAGTATATATTATTTATTTATCTATAGAGCACTTTTCTAAACCCATGTTTACATAAGGCAGCAAAATAAAACAGGCCTCCTAGGTTTCCTAACATAGGCACTTTTGGCATTTTTATAAAATTGTTTAATAGAGAAAATAGATTTTTTTGCTTTACACAATGGGCAGGGATTTAGTGAAACATTTATGTATAGACTATAGTATTTTGTTATGATGATGATATTGTTAACTATGAATTCAGTCTGCTTGTTCTTATTAATGACTCCTCACTGGACTTAAAGAGAAGACATCTATATTAATGGATTTGGCTTCAGTGGATCAGACAAGGATTTCCATCAGTTCTGGATTGTGTCACAAACATAAAACAGCTGCGTTTTAAATGTTGCTGCAGTATTTCTCCTTTCCTTTCCTAAAGGAAAGGAGAAATACTGTGTTTCCTCAGCCTCTCATGGCTGTTGCTCAGATACTTCAACTCATTTCACTCAGTTTGAACCTTCCTAAGAAAAAAGACTAATCGCCCGCAGCCCTGGTCTCCATGTGTGTTGGACGTTCGGAGACTGATTTCAGAGCTCGTTGTGTCCTGATGGTGATGATCTGTGTAGCTCTAACATGTGTCTCTTTCCTTCTCTTCCAGGTTCTCCATATACAAACATGAATAAGCAAAAAGATGACAGAATGACCTCCATGTGAATGTAAAACCTGCTGCTCAGTAGGTAGTTGTAGTCTTTATATATAGATATGGTTCATTTGTCCATGTGTTGTTTTATTAACTTAACTTAACCTTGTAAAGCTGTAAGTGTTGTCAGATGTGTTCCTGTTAACAGAGGAGTGTCTTATTAATGTATTAGTGTGTGTGGAATAAAACGTGAGTGGAACAAAACAGTAAGTGTGTGTGTGTCTCTGTTAAACACCAATGACACATCCAGAACAGATCAAACTCAGTGTTTTATTAACCTCACATTTGAACTTAGATCTTCACGTTCCCCACAGGACAAATTCTAATGAGTCTGCTGGTCACCTGACCTTTGACCCAGCAGGTCTGATACCAAACAATGACTCAGTCAGTCAGTCTCTCATCTCATGTTTACAGTAACATTGTTTTCTTTACTCCTGTTGTTAATATTTGTAATGAAAATAGATGAAATTGTTCATTAATTCTCATTAATAATCCATTGAGCCTCTGACCGACCGCATGATTATGAGAGACAACTTTTAAACGTAACATTTAGCGTTTCAGTGAGCCAATGTGATTCTGATATTTTAACAAAGCTGGCTGTACAATGACCTGAAGTGGAAGAATAACCTTTGACCTCTACCCTGTCCCCATCAGTCCAAACATCAGACACTCATAGAGCTGGTTCAGAGTTACTTTACTAGAGCTCAGTGGGTCGAGGTTTTCCCATCAGCCTAACAGTCTGGGCTGTGGACTCCAGAAGGATATCAAACAAAGAACAAGTCTTCCATCCATCAGCGCTTTATTTATTAGAACAGCAGGAAGAAAACATGACATCCCAGAACATGTGACACTAAAGATCAACAATAATCTTCCTCGCACTGAAAATAACTCAAAAGACATTTAAAACATGACAAATGAGGCTCAAAACCAAAGAATGAAATTAAAGGCACATTCAGATTTTTTGTGTTCAACCAGACTCAGTTTAATCCACTATTCAAGTCTCAGTCTTACAGCTCCACATTCTAAGGAATGAGACTCTGTATGTCAGGGGTCTGATGTGTTAAGTGTGGAGCTGTTTGAACACTGGAATGGTAGAATGGTACAAACATGGCGACGACTTGGTGACCCTAACCCCCGACCACCGAAATCATTCCTAACCAACACTTTGGTCCATGACGACATGTTTTGGAAAATCCAGTTGAGACTGAGACAGAGTTTGATGAGGACATGTCTGCTCCCCAGAGGATGAACCCTTCAGAGAGAGTACGTCACATTTACATTTAACCCTGGTTCTGGTCTCAGGATAGTGACAGTAAATCATTACAAGGTACATCCAATGGTTTGTTACACAGAGCAGGGTCTTTCAAAAAAATACTTGGCATGTGACTGGACGAACCATCTGTCACATGACGTAGCAGGAGTGTGCAGAAGAAGAACTTTGACAGCTGGTTAGTTGTCAGGAGATGATTACTGGCGTTGTTGAAGAAGAACTTGCACATATGAGACAATCATACAAAAACCAGTCACCTCTCCATAGCTGCCTGTAGCTCCTCCCCCAAAGGACACTGATTGGTCCAAACCACAGTGGTATCAGAGGTTAACACATTTCCGCCTCACCATTTACATTAACTCTCCAGATGTGTGTGGTCATATCCACATCTGTGAACAAGCAGCAGCGGAAGCTTTAAGGGTTTACATCACAATGGAGTGTACATCATAGTGACAGCAGTGTTAATGCAGCTGCTGTATCAGTGGCTGTGTTTATGTCTGTGACTCAGTGAGTGATGGTCGGCTGAGTGTTGGCCTTCTCTCATTGGCTGTTGTTCTTTTAAAATGATTTGGTGCAAACAGTTTTTATTACGTCATCAGGAGGCGTTTGATGACACAAAAACACTTTGTCTTTATGGAGAAATGACTGATGAGACTGCAACATAACTAAAAGTGAAGAGGTCTGAATACTTTTTGAACACTCTGTATATGAGGAATAAAGATTCTGATAAAACATGAACATTTACCTGATATATAGATTATAGATCATCTATAGCTACATGCAGATGTCTGTCAGTGTTTCCAGTCAATCAGGTTTTAACATCTCTTCAGTAAATTCCTCTGGAATTGAACAACAAAATAAACTTAATAGTTTCAACATGGACTAAAACTCTTTTTCCCTCCATACCTAGCACAGAGAATGCCTGACGCCTCCGGGCGACATCAGAGATAACATGTCGTAGAGGACCTACAGTGTATCTGTTTTCAGGAAATCATAGGACCCATGAAATACTGTCATGATGCTCATTAATAAAATTGAAACTTAATAAACGCACATGTGGTGTGAGATTTAAAGGAGCTATTTGTAAGCTGGCGTTAGCATCAACAGCTGCTGACTGACCAGTCTTGCCAAGAGCTTCAGCCATTGTGGCTGAGGTTATTAAAACCCTGTACAGTGAAAGGACTGGCTGACCAGCTAACTTCAGTAGAAGAAAAGAAGTGGTTGAAATAAAAGCAAAACTACAGGGTTGCTTTCCACCTCTGGACACAGCTGTTGGTGAGTAAAGTCATGAAGTTTGATGCTGAACTCACAACGTTTCTTCTGGACTGGTCAGTAAAGCACTACAGCTGCTAATGCTAATGTTAGCTATATAGCATTAGCAAAACTTACTAGCAGCTCCTCCACATTTTTACATCAGAGCACTGATGATAAACCTGGTCCCACTGTGGTCCAGCTTCAGATTTAGTTCCACAGCAAAAGAAATTCAGCTCCTCACCTCTAGCTTCATGGTTCATAATGTCAGTATTATTATTTATCATATGCTCCACAGCTGGAGTCAAACAGACAACAAATGAGGAGACTGTAAAAGGCGCTGACACCATGATCCAACATTTAAAACCCAAATCTATAGAAAGTAAGACATTTTAACGTTAATAATAAATAGACACCACTAAGAATTAGAATTAAATAAACCAGTGTAAAGACTAATGAATAAACCTGCATCACACTCATTCTGAAATTCTGTCCTATTTGAAAAAAATACATCCCAGTGAATGTCAAACTGAGTGTATACAGGAAACAACCCCTCAGGTCGTCACCTGTTCTCATCTGTAAACAGACGACGAAGTCCAGCAGTTAGAAAATCACCTCAGTTTAACACAGGAAACGACAGAGGATGAAACTCAGAGTACGCAGCTCATTTAAAGGAGCAGTCCAACCCTTAGCTATCTGACCCAGAATCAGATTCAGTAGATCAACACAGAAATAGCTTCAAAACATGTTTAGCTTACCTTAGCTTAGCACAAACTCTCTCTGCCTTGGGGGACTAGCTTTCTACATAGCAACATACAATACACGGAACAGCCAAACATTCAACTGATAGTTACATGTGATGGTTGAATATTTGACTCTGACATCATGCTGCTGTAACAGCCTTTCATCCAGATGTTGAACCAGCTGCAGGGATTTGATCCCATTCAGACACAAGAGCATCAGTGAGGTCATAAGGTCTGGCTCACAGTCAGTGATCCAGATCATCCATAAGGTCTAGGCTCTGAGCAGCTAAACTAGCAGGTGGAGAGTTACTCTAGCAAAATACAGACAAATGGATCCACCTGGGTTTCCTGACTCGTACAAGGACACAAGAGCTGCCATTACAAAAAAAAAACAGTCAATGATGCTTTAATAAAACCCTAAAATCAACAGAATCACCCAGAAAATAGCTAATAAAATAAAATAAAATAAAAGTAAATAAATCTAATAAAAGCAGGTCAGTTGTTCAGTGAAATGATAAACCAGTGAAATGAAAACGGGCTTTTCTTTGATCATCTCCGCCCCCCCCACCACCCTCCTCACCACCATCACTCGGTCCAGGTCCGGTTGATGCAGCACGTCTCCTTCAGGCAGACGACGAGGCTCTGAAGGCCGGACAGGAGGATCAAACACTGACGGTTGTGTCTCAGTACGACCTTCGTCTCCAGGTCATCTGACAGGAGAAGCAGAGTCAGGATCGACTTTTTTTTTTGGCTGGAGCTTGAAACTGAACTCACTGCAAGTAAACAGTCACTCATCCTGTACTCCTGTATTTTATAAGTTAATTGTAACAGACCATGTCATCAACAGACACTGTGTTAAAGCCGGTCCACCTACCTGCAGTGTGCCTCCTGGACTGGTTCCAGCACTAACACCTTACACTCTCTCTTGGCTATCTTGTCCAGTGAAATGAGGGTGAGGTCGGGGGGCAGTGAGAGGGAGCTGCACACCGGAGAACCAACAGGAGGCGTGACAGCCCGACGCTCCATCACAGTGCCTGACCTGGAGCAAGCACAGACACCGAGTCATGATGACAGACAAGAATCTTGAGGTGCATCATGTTAAAGTCTGACATTTGACTTTAGCCCAGAGAGTTGTTTCTAAATGTATCATCAGTTTCTGGTCAGGGTGAGGGGAGCCACAGGGCTGATGGTGACAATCAACATTTGCTTTCTCTTCTGTCTTGCACGACGTTCAGTCTTAACAAAGAGATCTTGGACGCAGCTGATTGGTGCCCACAGATCCTCCGTACCTGACGTGGTGCGACCTGGACGGCTGTTGGTGGGAGAAGCTCTGAGACCGGCCCAGGCTCTGTCTGTCCAGCAGCTCTCTGGCCGCAGAGCTGGATGATGACGGAGACTTCCTCAGTGACGACCGAAGCCCCGCAGGAGGAGTGGACACGGCGGCCGAGAACTGGAGCTTCAGTTTCATGTGCTGGCTTAACTACAGGACAGAAGAACTTTGATTATTATTGTATGTCACAGTGATGCTGTTGTAAACCAGAGTCACCGGTTCACATCCCGTCTGTCCAGACTCTGATTATATACAGATAATAGAAGACTCTGGAGGAATTTAATAAAACACTGTCATTAGTTTTATTCTTGGACAAAAATGTCAGGTCACAGTGACCTTGACCTTTGACCTTTGAGTTCTGTTCTTGTCTATTTTAGCAGTGTATTATCCATTTGTTTTTATGGTCACTGCACATCAAGAGGTGTCATGAGAAAGGAAAGGAAGGAAGGAAGGAAGGAAGGACGGAATGGCGGAAGGAAGAAGGGAGGGAGGGACGAAGGGACGAAGAAAGTAAAGATGAAAAGGAAGAAGGACGAAAGGAAGGAAGGAAGGAAGGAAGGAAGGAAGGGAGAGAGGGAGGATATAATGAAATGGTGGACAGATAAGCAATATGATGATGAGACAGGTGATATAAGGACAGACAGGTCATATGAGGGACAGACAGGTGAGGAGGGACAGACAGGTGATGAGGGACAGACAGGTGAGGAGGGACAGAGAGTCCGGTCCTGAGGATCTGGAAGGCCACGGTGAAGGAGAGGGTGGAGCCCTTGCTACACTGTCCCAGGTTGTTGAGGGGAGACTGACACACCACTGCTCCCACCCTGGGGTCCTGCTGACACAGACGACTGTGAGCTGAGGGGCGGAGCCAGAGAGGGAGACGTGTGTCATAATATTTATTGAAAAGTTATAAATGTCAACAAATATCTGTCAATTCTTCAGAACATAATTAATAGGCATGACTCAGTCCCACAATTTGCTTCTTTAAACACATCATACTTTACATTTTTCCCATTATAGCGTTGTTATTAAGACTTTCCAGGAGGTTTGCATGAATTCATCTTCATCAGTCACTCCCCTACACATGACCTGGGTTCTGTTCACTCGGTGATAAAGTGGAGGGTATGAAGTGAGACTGTGAGTCTGCTCCTCACCTTCAGAATTCCAGATCAGACGGACGGCCAGGAAGTCATGCAAGTTGTTCAGCAGGGTGTATTTCACCCAGAAGTGCTCCAGAGGCCTGACGGCACTGGGGCAGGAGGCTGTCATCACCAGCTGAGGACGATCCAGACAAATACTGGGCAGCGAGTAGCAACTGGAAATGTATCTGAGAGAAAACGAGCTGTTTTCATTTCTCCACCAGAATGTTTTCATGGAAGACTTGGTGAAACTAGCTGTGTTAATGATGTTCCAGTAAGACCAGGACCAGGACCAGGATCAGGACCAGGACCAGGACCAGGTTTATCACAGATCTGTCAAAACTCTTTTTCTTTGATAATTAGAAACTTTTAACAAACAAAACAATAAAAAATAAAGTAAATACACAAAAACATGTAGCATGTAGCGTGTAGCATGTTGTTCATATCTTCATGAGGTGTAATATAGAGTTGATACAGAGCCCAGACCAGCCCTCTTCCTAAACCAGGTTTTGTTTTTCTGGTGTATACACACAGACTGCTGACATGAGGTTTATAAAATCAAAGGCTAACTCTGTAATTACTCTACAGACGTCTCACTGTTTCAACATTACAGGTGGAGGCTCCACATGTTGGACAGAAGAGGAACAGTTACCTGGTGAAAGGTAGAGCTGGAGTGTACCACTGTAACACAGCCACCAATGGGACCTCAAGACCCTGCACACACACACAATGAAGTCATTAAAACACATGATTTAACCCTTTAACAATAGGTCTGGTGATATTCTTTATTTTTATTGTCAATAAACCTCACGTACAGATCAAACACTAAATGACTACTAAAAAACAGTCTGTGTATCAAAGCCTGATCTTCTGTTTCCACAATGTTAAATCACATCAGTGAAACACACACATGTTCCCTCATCACCGTGAACACACACTGTACTTTGATTTGACTCACACACACACCATCCTGCTGCCACAAACACTACAGCGCCAAATATGGATTAATCTGCCAGTGAAAACAGTCCCCAACAAAGTCACAGTTTCCTCCCGTTTAAGAAACATCTGTTAAAAACCACAGAGAGCAGCTGTTTCATTACTGAGAGTTCTTCTTTTTTTGGCTGGACCGCAACAGCAGGGTCAGCCCTATAATCTAGAATGACCCTGACTGACTGTTTCTGGTGCAAACAGGATCTATTAAAACAGTCTACTGAGCCGCTCTGGTTTCCCGGCTGCTCGGGAACAGCAGGGAAGAGGAAGAGCACTTCCTATACACTGAGCCTCGCCTCCATTACAGCAAATAAACTACCTTCATTACATGTATCATTATTACTAAAGGAGGCAGAGGAATAACCAAACATAGGACACACAGAACAGAGAGAGCAGAGAGAGAGAGAGAGAGAGAGAGAGAGAGAAGTCATCACTAACGAGGCTTCGTACTAACGACTATGACCAACTCTACATATCAAACAGAGGGAGTTAGACATAACGACCTGCCTCTAATAAAAGTCTGTGACTGAAGTAAATAAAGAATAAACTATTGTGGATCCAGATGGAGGCTGTGCTCTGTGAGAGAGACTGAATAAGAGACAGGCTGTCTCGGGTCCCTGTGGCCCTTTGCTGCATGTCATCTTCTCCCTCTCTCTCTCTCTGACTGTAATAAAGGCAAAAGCCTGAAAAAATAACTTAAAAAAAGAAAGATATTGTGTCTCTTCTAACTTTCTCCTTGAGTGATCATGTGACAGTAAATCCAGCTGAAATCACAGCTCAGTCTTTGTCTTTCATTTGTGTGTTTGGTGATTTTGTCAGACGACGTCACAGTTATAAAATCAGGATTTGACCAGAGGAGGTCCAGACTTAGACCAGGTTTTGACCTGGTCTTGTTTTAAAAAGTTTCCTCTTGAGTAGGAACCAGTGGCTTTGAGTGTGAGATCACAGACAGGGTGGAGAGGTCAGAGAACTGGAGGGGACTGACACAGTCTGACAGTTTTAGTCTTTTCATGGGATTTGGTGACAAGAAGAAAAATACAGAATAACACCAGCCACATGCTTGAGATATATTCATTAGGAATTCTAGCTCTAAAAGGTTTTTGATTCTCTAGTTCTAATGAAGCATCAAGATCAGAAAAGTGACTCAGTTATTTGGTGNGGGGTGTGGTGGGGGGGTGTTAATATCTGAACTAAATTTAACAATAATCCATCAATTATACCCCAGAGGATCCTCACTTTAGTCTTTGCATATGTCCCTTTACTCAAAGCCCCCCCCCCCCCCCCCACCCCCCG